GCTGTCCCGATGCGCTCTTTTCGCTCGCATAGGACCAGGCTGAAAGAAATCGCGCGGTGGTCAGCCTATCACGTAGCGACAGAGGATTAAAGCGCTTACTTCCAGTTTAGCTGTCTTAGGTGCCGTGCGTCTTCTGGGCTGGGAGATCAAAGACGAAGAACACTGCTGGCTGGAAACTCTTTCGGAGATGGCGTAGAACCGGGCCCAGTGGAAACTGTGTACAAATCTTTGTTTTTATTTTCTTGATTTACATCACAAACTTTAAACAAAAAGAGATAAAACGGCGTATGAAAAAACAAAAAGGCCTTTTTTATAACTTTCATCCTTTTCTTTTTTATCTCTGTATTTATTACTTCCATTTAACGGTTTTTGCTGGCTCTATGTCTATCTTATAGATTGCTGATTACATGTTACATATATACTGGTAAAACCTTAGTTGCTGTTGATTATGCGAACGATATTGTCTTGCTGTTTAACGATGTTGGGGCGGCCCAATCAACCGTGAATAACCTCCGGAGTGTTTCTATCATTTGACACGGTCTTCGCACCTTCAAAATGTGTTGCTGCAGGATGACCAACAATTAGATGACCCCTTGATAACGAGCAACTCGAGGTGGTTGTTTACTTCACTTGCTTTGGCAGTTGCATGGGCAACGATGAGCGTATAACGACCATAGTCAGTTCACGTATTGCAAAAGCGAGAACTGCATGCTTGAATCTGTGACATCCGTGGCTACAGGAGGCGGTTTCCCCCTGTCTGAAAGACTGTGTTTACAAGGCCACAGCGAGGGTCGTCTTAATTTATGGGAGTGAGACTTGACGTCTTCGAGCTGAAGACCTGCGACTCTTTCACGTCTTTGATCATCGCACCTGTGATGCATTACTGATGTCGGGTGTCAGCAGCGTGTTTGCAACGGTGATGTACGTATGAGGTCCTAAGTACTGATAATCAGGCTAGTTCATTAGAACACTGAAAGCACAGAATAAGCTGCGTCGGCTTAGGCACCTACTACGTATGCACGTTCACCACTTACCAAGGATGGCCTTGTTTTGTTTGCCAGATGTAGGGTGGCGCAAGGCTCCAGATGGGCAAAAGGTGACTTGGCAGGGGGAATTAAAGTCACTGACGACGAAACTCGGTGCCATCAGTCTGTCTCCCCAGGCTGTCTTCCAGGCTGAAATTCACCTGACTCGCCTTGTGTTTGGCTCGAAACATGGTTCATAGTCGGCACCAGTGGCGTGTCTGTTGTCGTCTCCTAATGAGTCTACCTGCTTAACGTGTGTTGGGTGCTGAGTTATCTGCGGCGTATTGGCCGGTTATGACGCGCATCAGTTAAATCCGCAAGTAAGCTGTCTCGCTGACGCCCCTTTGTATTTGCACGATAGCCAGGTGTTTGTGACGGTATATTGTTGACGCAGATTGTAGCCGCCTTGACTACGAATGTTCGTCTGGGGCATTATTTTCCAGTAGGTGTCCTCTCTCTCCTTAATGTTGCTTTTCGTCCCACATTACGCTATTGTTATACGGCAGTGAAACATCAGTTCATATGACTAGGTTGTTGTTGTTTTGTTACTTGACAATCGCACTTACTGACTGTGGTATGCGGCCTGGTATTCACTGTTCTACGTTATCATTATTGTTTCTGACCGTAGATTCGTCTCTTATGAAGGACAGAAATTACTGGATAACAAACGTTTCGCTGGACTCATTTGAGTGTCTAAGCAGTATGAAGAACAGATGGCATTGATTTGTTTCGTTCGTTCGGCCGAGACAGTTTTCGCGGATTTTCTTATGAGTCTGATTTTCATCTTCCTCATAACGCAGCCTCTCCAACACAACTCTTGCGTTATTTCCGATTTCGCGTCGAAACACCGCCAAGCGGTATGACATCGATTGTCCGTTCAAATGCACTGTTGCGCGAAATTCTGCACTTTAGCCAGAGGTGCGAAACACGTAACCTATCTTGCCGCAATGCAATACACTGACGCGGTCGAAGTGATCCTAGGCTAAGCAAAATGGATGATATTATCCCTTGATTTTGTTAAGCATCAGGGTACGAGCTCGTGGTAATTATCGACGCTCCCTCCTCCCCAATAATAACTGATCGCGATGTGCTCGATTTCCAAGCACATGGCTGGTGGGCACCTGGGCTCTTGCAGAATAAACGACCACCATTATTCTCACTACCGAACCTTTCACCGTGATGATTGCCTACATGCATTTCATCATTGGCGTTCAGATCACCAACTAACCCTACAATCCCCGTACTTCTTTTGTGAAGACGGAACTCGTTCAGTTAGCATAGAAGTCATCCTTCACGCAGTCAGCACCACTGTTCTTGGGGGCGTAGGCAGCGATGACAAATAGGCACCTGTTGTCACTGTGCGACTTCCAACGAGCCAGTCACTCTGGCGGCACATATCCTGATACTGGTCGGAATCTAGTTAAGCGGAGCAGCTTCAGCCTGGGAGCTTGGAGCAATGCTCACACCTGCTTGGTCGGCATTTGAAACTGCATCATCTAATAGGTACAGTATGCTGGTGCCCTTTGTCATATAAACAGAATCGTACGCTGAGCATAGAACTAAGGTTTTGCAGTTGGTTTTTCATAAAGCACCGGATATCCACCGATAGGGAGTATAATGTTTAAGATATTACGGCCTTTTGACCGATCCACAACAAACTGCGCACATTGACACATGCCAGTCTTGGTGATGATTGAAGGCTTCAAAGAAATGCGATTACACTGAAGTTACTCTCTGGGTTGGACATGGGCTTGTAGATAGGACAGAAGTGACGCTCCGCGATTACGTGTGAGTCTAAAGTATAAGACACGCCAGTAAGCTGTGGTCGGTTCAATGGTTTTGACGAGTTAAGAAAATGGGATGAAGTGAGGTGAACGGGACAATGAAGTAGGGAAAGCGCAAAAGGCGGATAAGAGACGTGGGGACGTGGGGAGCTGTGATACCCTATCCACCGCACTAGGTAGAGCGTTATTATCCTTCGCGACAGTTAGGCCAACGAGACGCTTTTGTAATTGTTTATAAATATGTTGTTTGGGCAGAATTCTGTCAGGTTGCCCTGGCCTAAACATGAAAACGATTAGCGCCTTCAACCAAAGCTTTTTGGTCCAAAAACTGGAACGCGACAACACCAGTTTGGCGATGAATTTAAGTGATTCCATTTTAAGTAATCGGAGATCATCTTCTTCCTATTCGCTATCCTAGATAACCATCCGGCAAGCAAAACAACCTCCTGCTCGGTAAGCGGTGACCGTGCGTACCTGGTACGTGCCTAAGCTGACGCAGCTTTTTCAGTGCTATCCGTTGTTCTAGGGAACTAGCATTATTATCACCTCCTTGCACTCGCCTACCCACGTCATCGTTGTGGACACGCTGGTGCCATTCGACGCCAGTAATGTTTCGCAGGTGCGTTGATCAAAGACTTGTGGGTGCTGCAGGTCCTCAGAACGAAGGGGTCAAATCACACTTCATTGAGTAGGGTGATCTTGTAAACACGGCCTTTCAGACCGAGAGAAACTCCTTTCTGACGCCACGGATGTCGCAGACTCAAGAATGCAGTTTTGGCTTTTAAAATACGTTAGCTGACTTCCGCGGCTGTTTACTAATCGCTGCTATCGCGCCTTCCAACTTAAGTGATTTGATCAGCTTCCTGGAGTTCTTCGCTATTATGGGTCAAGGAATCGTCAAGTGGCTGATGGTCCTGCAACAACACTTTACAGGTGTGAAACGCATGCCAAATGATGGGACCACTCTAGTGAGGTTATTTAGTGCTGATTGCGCCGTCCAAACATTGTTAAAAAGCAAGACAATATCGTCCGCATAATCAAGATCAATTACTTTTTCACCGGGCAGCACGTCGATACGTGCATCGTGAGGCTCCGCAAGGGAACACTCCATGATGTAGTCCACGACCTAGTTGAACAGAACTGGAAATTGAGCGACCCTGATGAACGCTGCTTGTTGTATGTAAGGCATCCGACAAGTCGTCGTAGACCTGTAGACTTTGTGTCGACCTTAATCTCTGGCTATTTTAGTATGAGGAACATCCAGCACAACCGAATGAATTGTTGAACCACACAGACCATCACATCACCGTTGGGCAGCGAATTCAAGTCGTTCGTCTTTCCAGTTTCTTTATTTATTAGCCGAATTGATGTCGTCCACTTTAAATGGAGCTGGTGTTTGAACTAGATTTATCCATTGAGCACCATTTCTTGAATTGGCCTTACTTTTCCTAGGCACTATGTCGCAAAATCGGTACTTCAGGGACAAGTGATTTACTCAGCAGAGGCAAGTAGACGGAAATGTCAGCACGTGTAGATCACAAAACACCTCAGTGTATACCTTCCATACGCTTCCATGACCGACGACGCCTTTGATTCGATGTGGTTCCCCCTTTCAGTTTAACAAGTCAATATAGCGCAATCAGATATCCACTGATCGGCAGAGCGGCGTAGTCGGTGGATACGCATCCTGTGCCCAATGGCCGAACCCGTTAATTTCGCTGATTATCGTATTCCTCTCTCCGTTTCGTATGTTCACTTCCTTACCACACCTGTCAGGGCAACTCATCGAATAATAGGAGTCTGCAGATTACCGCACCGCGTTAAGCTGCAGTTCCACGGGGTTATTGAGTAAATGTAAGCACATTTATTAATGTGTTCTGTAATCCAGAATACCTGTTTTCATCATATGATGGACCATCGCCTATATGGTAGGATGAGATGAATCACGCGCTTTTCTAACTGCGATGTCCTTCCCCTCTCGGTGGTGGGCTCGTTAGATGACATTATCATGTTATCTATCGGGATTTCCGCCTCAGTTATCGATCCCTCTCCTGCAACCTAATGTCGTGTTTGTGCTGTTGTTCAATTCCCATGATTGCACACATGTAGCTTCACGCACTAATTCCCGATGGCTTAAATTGTAGTGCTTTCCTCTGCATATAAAATACAGGTATACCTCCATTCCTTTTAGGTGAAGACACTGGGGATTTTCTCTCTTTGCTTCTGGTTTCCATGCAAGAGACAAAGACTGTCGGTATGTGCAGCATCTTTGTGGAGGAGAAACCATCAAGCTTGAAGTCGAAATCCATCAAACGAGTGTGGCGTTATGGTTTCTTGCATCAATTCGATGCCAAGTCGCCATATTTGATGCTGTCTATATTCGATAAAGGTTGGTTAGAAGATATTCTCTGCACACACTGAACAACGTGTTGATTAGGGCTGTACTAATGCCTACCTTCTGTCAAATCACATTTGTGTACAATCATTGTGCCGTCCTTCTCGCACGGCTTTTGCTTTTTGGTTCTCCTAAACAACCGTCTAATATGGTAGTCCATGATTTTGTGATTCAGGCATTTCGTTTGGAATCTCTACTCCCCAAGTTGTTGTCTCCCCTTCTGCTGATACCCTTTCACTGAAGCCTCTTGATTCCAGTCGCCGATGCTAACTACTTTCACCAATTTTTTTTGCCAGCTTCCTACCACCAAATTCCATGTCTTTTTTGTCGTTTTAAGTCGGTATTGCTTTTATTCTGAATACCGTTAAAGGAAATCGTATTCACACATATTCACGCAAATACTGAAGACGATTTTCTGGTATTCTGATAACCTTCTCACTTCTTAGAAGTGTTTCGGTGATGCTCCTCCCAACTCTGACACTCCATGACCGGTTTCGTCGTGGTTTGGACTCATCAGATGGAGGTAGCCTGAACTAGTGCGAAACTCGGGGCATAGTAATTTACGGCTGACGCGTTGCTCACTGTGCCTATTTGACTTTGAATTCTCACTACTTTCTTTCACTTGTCAGACTCACGAATTCTGAGTGATAGAACAAACGGCAACACCCCGTAACTAACGCCCGAATTAGCCGCCACCGTAGTTACCAGGTTGGCAGTGGCTACAGCGTCGGACGTATTCTTGCATTTTTTCGGTTTGTTTTTACCATGCTTCCCAGAGTGTTTCCATTTGTGACCATAACCGGACAGATAACTTTCTGTTACCCGCCCTTGACGATGATCGCTTCATATGGTTTTTTATGGATCTGATCCCTTGTCTTATTCGTTACATTCATCTCTTCCGAATATCACTGTAAATTGCTCCGCTCTACTCTTCAGAGTGTTCCGGCTTACCATGGCTCGGTCAGTTTGAGCATTTGGCTCCAGTAGAAGACTTCGCTGGTATTCAGTTGTATGATGATCGAGAAGGCAGCTCTCCGTTTCCCGTTCTTGTTCCTGACCGACTGAGCTACGGCGCATGTGAGTCTCATCTCTCCGCTCCAATTTTCACGGTCCTACCTGTGTTCACTCCTCCCCACTAATCTGTGCTCTTTTATTCCTCTGCATGCGACCGATTCCTAGATTTCAGTTATTATACTCGAATCACAACCTCCGTTGTTTGACACTTCTGCTTATCACCTTGTAACACTGCTTTTCTATGTGCCTTTTTATTTGTTCATACGGATAAATAGGGATTTTTGTAGCTCTTAGATTATCCACCATTACTGGGTTTGAATCTAGCTTTGCTAGGCCATTGCTGTTTGAATGCTTGGTGCTCCCAATTTGTGCTATTTGATCACAATGCTAAATGCTTAACATCCAAACTGGGCCTGTCACTGCATAATTTAGTCCATTCACCAGCCGTAACTTCATTGATATTATTACAAGTCCTCGGTTGGAGGGCGAAGGGGATCGCCTCTATCTATCGGGTCCATCGTCAGTGTTTGTTTTGCTTCCCGATATCTCCTGCGTTGAATTTCTCTTCTTCTTACTATAGCTAGCCATAGATTACAGCTGTGTTCCTAAATTATCCCCCGAACTTATCGGTTCATTTCACATAAGGCCAAACAATCTCCACACTTTGTGCTAAATCGACCAGCGTGCAACACGAGCTCTCACTCTGCATCCTAATATGTGTGCGATGTCTCCGAGACACGCATACAAGATTACAGCCCTCAAATACAATTACATTTTCACGCCTCCATCGATACCTGGACGATGGGTTTATGTGCTCACAAAATCGGCGCTGCAACCAATACGGTATTATGAGAGCAAGTATGAATTTGAATCTTCACAACTTACTCTGTCAAAAACATGAATAACTAAATAAAACTACCTGTGATCTGTCGGGTATCCCACGTAGTTCCGTAAAAGAAGTATACTCAACTGTAACTTGGGGCTCATAAATTCGACATATCATTATCACTAGGTGACCGTTCTCTGAATCTAACAGCGAAGAAATGGTAACCCAATGTGGTTTTGATTTATTGAACCTAGTTGGTTTCAATCATGTGCTCTAGCAGACTGTTGCACGCATTGAAGAACGGGGAGCTCGTTTCAGATCTGGCACCACAAGTTTGTGTGTTGCAGCGTTTTCGCAGGTGCAGCGGCGATTCTCTGGAACGAATCACACTGAATAGCAATAGGTACTGTGTTAAGTTTTAACCTTGGTCGCTGAAAACACCGCATTTGTATCGGCTCGACTTGCTTGTTTGCCAAAGACGAATCCAACTTCCACTTCCCATTCTTCCCCTGTATTATGAGGAGCACCGAATTCAGCGTTATCACCGCTGACCTGAATATTCAATTGGGCCACTCTGGAGGGTTATTTTCCCGTCCATGCCTATGGTACTGGCGATGGCGATCGATATCCACTTTTGTGCGCCAACCCTGTTCGCTACATCCGGAACCATAATCTTCCAGCGCATTTGTTCGTATGACGTAATCCTGTGCTCACCGAACGAATCGTTGTATTGGTTTCGAACTAATCATACCACCGTCAACTCCAGCTGGCGCACTTCAGTGTACTTCGTTGTTCGCTCTATAGAGTGCTCATATGGACTCTGATCATTCCTTAGTGTACACACATAACACGCACTCTCTTTTGTCCTGGTTTTGCTCATTCAGTTTGACGGTTCCCCTCTCCCTCCGACCGTTTTGTCTCAGTCCGTTCATTTCGCGATTATTTTGTTACTCACTACGTTGGCACAGTGCTTCGCCAGTGTATTTGATGAACTTAAGATTTGGCCACTAGTTTATAATTAGCCCGCTTCTAAGTTCCGCTCTTTGTCGGTCAAACGCTCCCATATTGGCAAATACGACATTGCACCTTCACATCGTGTATCCTCTGACTATTTGTGCCTCTGTCTACTCGCTAGTATGCTTCGTGTTGGGTGACAGGTTTACGGTTCCGAAACGCTTCGGCGTGTAAACCCATTCCCGTTTCTCATATCTTCCATTTCACTGGGTTTCTGCGACCCGTGTTTTCCTCGGTTTGTGCTTGCTATCACTGTTTGTCTCATTGCCTAGCCATCTGTTTCATCTCATCGTTTGTCCAGTCTCCGATTCCGCCACTTCCGGTCGTTTACCCGCTGGAGCCACTGAACCCTTCCGATATGTCTCGTGGGTGTCCTCGCCTTCCATGCAGACAGACGTGAACAAAGTGCTACGTTTAGGGCGCAGGCTGCCCGAAAAATCCCATTTGTTCTTCAAAGTGAGTCTAGTTTTGTTCTGAACTCACTGGGGATACATGGCCACAGTTATTTCTTGCCTCCTCACATCCACAACTGTGGCCACCAAATTGGTCCCGAAAGTATCTGAAACACACCGTGGATGTTCTTTCATATCATTTTGTCGGTAGACAAACGAAGAACAATGCTAATGATCACAAACTTTCAATCAGTCAGCGGTCCACACTTCGAATTGCTTCCATTTTCTGAAGTCTTCTGCTGGCTTAACCGGTACCTGCTTAGTTATCTTTACACGGGACCACCATACATGATATCCCGTCGGGTACACCTGGAGAAATGTGTAACGTGGACAGCTGTTGTGATTGCTGCTTGTTTGTCATATAACTTTTTCTTTGAACCATTACTCTTCTCTTCAGTCATGTGTCTTAGTCACATACTGTGTTCCCCTGTTTATCACCGTTAAGGTTTCACGCTTGTACCAAACCGTGCTATCTTGACTCTGCATGTGTTCTTTTATCCGGTCATCCAACCGCTGGTCCACCTGTTGTAATGCTAGAACTCTGTCATTTACTTGATACTCCGATCCCAACGAAATGTATAATGGTCAATACCGGGCTGACTGATATTTTCCCTCGATGAAATTGCCTGTTTTGTAATCCGAGGGCGCGGGTTCGAGCCTGCGGAAGGACCGGGCTACCCTCTCAATATCCTTAGCCCACGTGCGACGAGTGGTGATTACGCGGCAGCGAAGCCTTTGTACCGGCACACTGCTGGTGCCTTTCTATTTTTCTTTCGATGAAAATGGGTTTTACTTCATACACGCTGCTCTGTATGATTGTGCGTGCCCTCCTATCAACTACCTTTTTGGCCTCGACATCCTGCTGTATTCCAATTGCTGATTCGCAACCACTATGCACTACTTTCATTTATTTGCTTTATTGGACACTTTACCTTTCCACCGTACCAATCCCTAATAGAGCTGTGAAGTCATGCTTAGACGTTCATACAATTAAGTCACCAAACACCACCCCAAAACGAGCCATATCCTACTCGCTGGTTGTCTGCTTGATCCCTCTTTGTCGCTCTACTAATTCGCTGATGTGATCTCTCCCTCTCCAGGAATTGTCCAGAATATGCTCCGTCTCTTTGGCTTACGGTTGTCCTGACCTTTTGGGGCACATTGCTCGGCTCACAGAAGCTGCACACGCGCTTGAGTTACAATCGAACGGTCCAAACGCTCAAGCTATTCAAGCACATTTGGCTACCATGCGGCGCATTTTGACGGAGTCTCTTCCGATTGACAGTTCTTGACATGTTTGTACAGCTTTTTTGTTATACTCTAAACTATTCTTTCTCCAGCCCATGGAGCTCGCTTCTTGCCATCTCGGCCACAGCATCGAGACATCGCTTCTCTTTGTATCAACGGTCAGGAACCGAAAGTTCCAGCAATATATCGCTAGTAGACATCGATTGTCTACTAGTATACAACCGTAAGCTGTCTGGGACACTGCAGTGGCAACCGAAACCCTTGCACGAGCGGGAACTTCGAACCGTAGATGTCATAGACGGCTGAACTGCTCTCCAACCAATCCCCTTGTTTTTACTTTAGAATTGTATTAGTGCTAACCTCTCGCTGTTCTTTAAGCTCTACCACTTACGACACAAGTTCTCCAATTTACTCTGGGGATTTACTTGGTTTCTTGTTGCGATATCTGTATTACCCGCCAACTCTAACGGTGTCATTCTCCGGTGATTGTACCATTTCGCCGTACGGTTGACGGTATCCATTCATAAAATCGAAGATCACCTTGACTGCGAACAATCACGAACGTCTGCACCTACATGTGGTCTATCGGTGAATTTCGCTCCACCTGTCACACAATCTGTATTCGGCGTAACCATGGTTACGACCGTGAAACACGTGAGATGGTAACCACGATTCGTCCGAAGCTGACCCCCGTTTCTCCGGCACCCGCATCACTGTTTTAAAATGGCGAATATTTGTGTACCAAATACACACAGAATGGTGCCCTGGTCGAGTCTCAATATATGGTAGAACCGCTGAGGCTAACGTCACTTGGTAGGATTCCAAGTGACGCTGGAGAACGGAACGCAACGGAGCTCTTGATAGAATCAAAGCCGTCATTATCAGACCTGCTGCTGACCCATTACGATCCGAAATTGGACATCGTTGCTGCCACTAAGGCGTATAACTACGGAATTAGTACAACTATTTCACACCGCTTTACTGATGAAACTGTGGCTACTGACCATGCCTTCCCGTCATTGACATCAGCGGAGCACAACTATGTTTAAATGGAAAAAGACGCACTGTCAATCATTTACGCCATTAAAAAATTTCATGAAATGCCGTATGATCACGCGTCACAATCCCTTAACTGTTATCTTCGGTTTGAAGAGAGGCATACTTGTGTATTTGGCAAATCGTCTTTAGAGGTGGGAAGCTGCCTTTGGCACGCCATTTTTGAGTCAAGTATCAATCGACTGAAAACTTGGGTCAAGCTGATGTTCTGTCATGCCCTCTGGACAGGGATCAGCAAGAGTCAAAGGGTATCGTAGTAGCCAGCATCTCATTGCTCTGTCGCATAAGCAATCAGTTTTCAAGCTGAAAACCTACGCTGTTCATTAAAAAGCAAACTGACTTTAAGTAATCTACTGAACCCGCTTCTATCGACATCTTCTCACTGAAGCTGGCTGCTTACTCTTATCTTGAACGCTACTGCCTAGCCATTAACATTTTGCCACGATGGCATGTGACCCTTTTTGTCTTGTCGGGCGAACTTCTCCTTGTTAAGTGTTATGCGAATTTTTTGAACGGTTTTGACTTGGATAGTTGTCAAACGACTTAGCGATTGATAACGGGCAACATCAGGGGATATTTACCATCATATGCTATAGTTTTCTTACCGTGACCTACGAGGCCGGGTAGCAGTTTACGGGAATTTACATCCTACTAACCCCTCAAAATGATCTGTGGATTCATGGCTACTAGCAGGATAACTTTTCCCACCTGGCGGCTAAGCACTGTCCTCTCTACGGGCAGTGGAGGCTGGGTCGGGCTATATCGTTGTTACCTTTAATCTATGATGTTCATTCCCCATGTCATAATTTTCTAACTAGTGGTTTGTACCATTTTAGCGGTCGGGGTTTTGATCCTCCAAAGAAAACAGAAGTACTGCCCATCACTGGCGAGCCCCAATGGGGAAAAACGATCGTCTGGTGCTTTTCTGGATTTATGGGATACAATCTAATTGCGATGAACCAAATCCGTCTACTCATGTGTGATTACGGAAATCTGTCTTTGGAGTTCCTAGTGATGCGTGCGGTGTGTCTGTGTTGTACCGCAACCTAATTGTCTAAGGCCCGATAGACCCAATTGGCACAACGCTATAAGGCACGGTATTCGTCCAGCACCTGTAATATTTGGCTCTTGACGCGATACCTGCTGGAGCAGCAAGACTGTGTTCAACTTTGTACTTCTGTATACCATCGAAATACGCTCACTGCAATAAGTTTCCGAAACGCGATCGAAAAATCAGATGGTTTATCGTGTGCCGTTCCGCTGAGTAAGTGGCTTCGCAGCAATCCATGTAATGGGAAATACAATGTGTCCCAATCGGCACAAGTTTATCACCGCATATCCTGGTAGCCCACGGTCGAACTTAGAGCTGCTGTCTCTCCGTTTGCTTTGACTCCACATGCATTCACAAATATTGTTCGAAAACTAGCATTTAACCCTTGCCGCCCCTGAAAGGCTCCAGTTGGGTTGTGCACATTGAACTCTAACTTCGTCCCCACCTGCTAACCTCTGCCGTAAAATCCATACAAACTCTGTCAGAATCCAGCTTTTTAAAATACTCACACTTCCTGCCCTTGAGTACTGCAGCATCATTAATGAGAACATGCTTAGGGTAACAGGAAAGCTTCGGCACATTTGCAAGTATCACTCACTAAACGCTTGTTCAGTAACTCGTCCACCTTCACTTATCAGGAGTGCTGCCAGCAGCTTAAGCTTGAGCCCCTTGGTTTGCGACGACTGGCACATAATCTGATGCTGATACACAATATTATAAGCCAAAAAGCACTCCAATCTATGCACACTTAGATTGCAACAACATCACTCAGAGTCTATGCAAACAAGACCTGTAAACTAACTGTGCCAAGAACCACGACAGCTATCCAATCCAACTTCTTCCTCATCAGATCCACTGTCGTGTGAAATAGCCCACTAGCCACAATCAGGTTTTGCACAAATGCAAGAACATTCCGCATTCAGCTTAACAATTTCCTGGACCAGAACTCGATAATGGCCATGTTTATATCGGGTAAATCACTACATTAGTTCTTCCAGGTTGATCCAACAAATATATAACCAGTGAGAAAAGATGGTACACAAAACTCAACAACAAAAGGTTATGTGATTCCAAAATATTTTTTTTGCTCACACACTTCCGAATACATATCACTTATGCTTGAGCACAACCAATGGTAATCATGATCTGTCCCCAATCGATGGACGGCTTCTCTCACAATCGAGAAATATTTGTGTTATTGTTATTCAGGCTGATGACTTTATTGACTACACTTGCTTTCAACTCTATTGTAAATCCGAATAGCCAGACGAAGTTTACACACAGTATTTGTACCACTTGTGAACGCTGTCCCCTGTATTTTTATTACTATAATGTCTTCAAAGTAAGAGTTTGAATGTCATGACATACACCCGTCTTCTCCAGCATACTGCAGTCCAACTTGATGATTCCCGAGATAATGAAACGGCCAGTCCGTGGCCGAAAGGACAAAGCCTCTTCCTTGCAACCTGGAGGTCGCGGGTTCGAGCCTGCGTAGGGGACCGGGCACTATCCTTATCTCTCGCGCTTTTGGTCGTGATTCTGTTGAAGTGAGATGTCGGTACAGCATACCGGCGTACTGCTGATGCCTCCAGTACAATTTAGTCCCCACTAAGTCCCATTGATCTACGCACTAGTCTCTGGGATTGCTGTCATTGCGAATTCTTGCAGCTGCCTTAAGGTTTTTCGTTCAATCGTTTGCCCATACAAAGTGCGACACAAGTTAGACCTGGTGACTTGACTTATCGCTTGCTTAATCTATACCTCTAGATAAGGTGTCAGTTTCCTGACGGACATCATCTTCACTTGGGTGAGAGCACACATGCAGAACTTAGTGTATTTTTTAGAATAAAACTAAGATAGAATGTAACCGGTTTTAGGATTACTGACAACCCCGTCACCTAATCCGTGCAATTCTGCTTGAATGTCGAATGTACAAAGGTAGCGGAAGCCTTATTCTCCTGGTATAACCTTTATCATTACAGCACAAGTCATTCCAAACTTTTTGCTTGGAAGTAGAGTTGAAATTAGGACACGGTTGGCTCCATTGTATTAAATGGATTTTGGAAGTACAGTTGATTGATCGCGGGTAAGTATGGTGTGCTGCATTTTCGTCAGCGATTGGCCGTTGGCCCCATATCCGGCGTAGTCGGTTCGATGGGCGGGCAACACGCTATGCTTGTTTGCGTTTCCCTTTGGTGTTACAGTTCACTTAGAAGCTGCCCGTCGTATGCACTCTACCGACAGGGACATGGATAACCGGATCTTCGTGTTCGTAACACAAAATAAAATTGCTTAGGCTCCAGTAAAGATGATATTTCAACAATGGATATGGTATTCTTGCAATAGCGTCGGCTTGGGACGGCCTTTGTGTCGGCGAAGAGGAGCGTTTGCTGCATGGAATTCATCTGCACAAAATGCTGAAACCAAAAAGGAGATGTTATTTTGGTTATCTACCACTTGTTAGACTTGTCAATTAATAGAACTACTTTAACAGTTTTAAAGGCAATCTTGTTGCATTTATTCAGTATGATCCGAAATCATGCTGAGAACCTGCGCTCCATCATGTCTCTCGCGTTTAGCTGAGTAGATTCCACTGCGTGTGCAACATACTTGTCTACCAGTCTTATACAACACTGAACATAGAGCATTACATATGTCCCCCATCACTATCTTGAACTTGATCAGTCACACTCTTTTATAGCCATATGCATTTGTTTCTCAGTTATTGATTTGATGCTGAAATGAGAGTACGAAATGCTTATGTCTGTTAGTTTATGTCCCTTCAATGTGTTGTTTTAATCGATGAAGGCATTTAACTGTTTCAGTTAAATATACCATTCAGCGTGCCACAATGATGCATGTCATCATTAGTATCTCACTTGTACCTCATTTTATGTTAAGCTGCTTAGCCAGAAGCTTTCTCCACTCTCATTCTATGCCCCAATTTTGCGGTGCTTATCACTGAATTCGTGGTTATCGTCTGATAGATTCCTTCACCTTGTCGAGAGGTCCGCCTACATTTGTTGGTATTTTGAGTAACTGAACAAGCTGGTCTCTTTGCTGTCCAGTCACCCTCCATTCCGTGTGACAAGCTCCTCAACCTCAGCTCCACGAGAAAAGCTGCTGATTAACAAGAGGGAGTCATTCTAATGGGTCATAGTATTCACTCAGCGAGTGCAATGCTTAACTTGCCTCAGCCTAAAAACTTATGTAGCTCGCGTGCCAGACTTGTCAACGTGACCATCTCATGTTCCAACTGTTTTAAAATTTTCCACGTGAAATGCGTCAAACTGCAAACTAGCAAGGAGAGAGTACACAACATCAAAGCAGGTTCTCTCTGGTTCTACACCGAAAGTACGTCTATTCAATGATAACAAGCCTCGACCGGTGGCCGAGTGGTCTGCACGCCTGGTTTGCAACCATAAGGTCACGTTCGAATCCGCTTAGGGGTGGGCGTCTAGCGGTATACCCAGCCCAAGCCCGACTTATGATGATCGCGCGACAGTGAAGCGCCGTACAGCTGACCATTTATCTTTTATGGTGAAAAGCGTGCTCCTGTCCTTTCAGAAGGCAATCAATCACTATGCATCATCATCATCATCAACAGGAGTACGTCAGCAATTTGAACTGATGCTTCGCTGCTATACAAACATGAGGACCTATGAAATAAAGAATATGAACAGGGGAAGAAGGGGGAATTACCTGAAAACCTTAATGCCCTAAGCAAACATTCAGGGTCAAGCGCCTACCCCTTGTATAGACAACATACCGTCACAAACAGATGGCTATCGTGCAAAGATAAGGCGGCATCGGCGAGACAGCTTCCTTGCGGCTTTCACTGCCCCGCGTCATAATCAGCCATTACCCCGCAAATAACCCAGCACCAAACACACTTTAAACAGACAAACCGATTAGGAGACGGCAGCAGACGCGCCACTGGTGTCGGTTGCGAGCCATGTCCTGTAAAGTCTCAAGCCAAGCACAAGGTGAGTCACGTGGACTCCAGCCCGGAAGGCGAGACGGACCAACGGTACCCAATTTGGTCATCAGTGACTTCATTCCCCGTTGCCAAGTCAACTTCTGTCCACCTCGAGCTTTGCGCCACCCTACACCTGGCAGGCTAAGCAAGGCCCTCCTAGGTAAGCGGTGACCAGGCATACGTAGCACGTGCTTGAACCAACGCAACTTATTCAGTGCTATCTGTTGTTCTAGGGAGCAAGCAGGATTATCACTCCCTAGTACTCGCCTACGCACATCATCGTTGCGGACACGCTGGTGCCATCCGACACCAGCAATGCTTCGCAAACAACAATGATCAAAGACTTGAGGGCGCCTCAGATGTTCAGACCGAACAGGCCAAGTCTCACTCCCATAGAGCAGAATGGCCCTCACTGTGGCCTTGTATACACGGCCTTTCAGACGGAGGGAAACTCCCTTCTGTCGCCAAAGATGTCGTAGCTTCAAGAAGGTAGCTCTGGCTTTTACAATGCATGAATTGACGTCAGTTTTTATGCGCCCATCATTGCTGATGCAGCTGCCAAGATAAGTGAAATGATCAAACACCTCGAGTTCCTCGTTAGCAAGCGTCAAGGGGTCATCAAGTGGCTGGTGGTCCTGCAGCAACACTTTGCACTTTGAAGGTGCAAACTGCATGCCCAATAATGGGACCACTCTGGACAGGATATTCAGGGTTGATTGTGCCGCCCCAACATCGTCGAAAAGCAAGACGATATCGTCTGCATAATCTAGGTCAACTAACTTTTCACCAGGCAGCACTTCAACGCCTACATCGTTGGATTCCGCAAGTGAACACTCCATGATAGAATCTACGACGAAATTGGACAAAACGGGGAAATCGGACAACCATGACGCACGTCACTTTTGGTCGGAAAGCTGTCCGATAGGTTACCGTGCACCCTAACGCGGCCTGTAGTGTTCGAGTATAGAGCAGGAAGGATGTTCACATATTTCGTGGGAACATTTCCACGCAAGTATTTCGAACAGAATCGATCAATCGACTGAATCGAACGCACTCTTGAACTCGAGAAACACAGCTATCGTCGGTCTGCGGTTTGCGTGGCGCTGCTCTATCACCTGCCGCAAAGTGAATTTATGGTCTATACAGCCACGTCCTGGACGGAAACCGGCCTGCTCTTCCCTAATCCGAGATTCCCGTTCTGCAGTGAGGCGACGAACGATAATCGAGGCCGATAATTTTGTCACAACTGGCGTTAGTCAAATACCCCAGTGGTTAGAACAGTCTGTGCGACTGCCCTTCTTGTATATTGTTACTATGATTGATTCGCTCCAATTAGCCGGGACACTCTTCCTTCCAGATACGTTCGAATAAGGAGGTCAGTGCTTTGCAGAGGACCTCATCTTCATCCTTAAATAGTGCAGGTGGTAGGGAATCCGGGTCAGCGGCACGAAAACGATTGAGGGCTGTAATCGCGTTTCGGACCTCGGCCTCCGACGGAGGCTCTAAACTAACCGTCCATGGCACGTCCTGCATCACCTGAGTAGGAAGAGGTCCGGGAGCAGGGGGCCGGCTGAACTGATTTTGAAAGTGTTCCGCCCAACGAGCCATACGGCGCTCCTTATTGTGTATCAGCGCACCTGCGCTGTCTCTGATTGTCCCAGTAACGCCCGGTTTTCTGGGACCAGTGGTGCGGATAAGCGGGGAGAGCTTGCGGTAATTGCCTATTGCTCCTGCCTCCTCTATTTCTTCAGCCCTACTGGTCCACCAGGCTTCCTTGTCAGCACGCAGGCTCTGCTTTAGTTCACGCCTAATAGCCCGTCTGGTCACACTGTGTTCATAACCAGCCGGGAGGTATCTTCTAGATTCCAACAGGTTCACCGAGCTCTCGGATATCTAGTGACTGGTGCGGTGACGATTGATAGTGCCACAAGCAGATGATCCTGCGTCGTGCATGGCGACCGAGATCCTATTCCACTGAAACTCAGCGTCATTAGGACAAGACTGCGGAAGTTCAGTATGCAGTACGTCTTGATAGACTTGCCTGACCGAGGACTGAGACAATTTCTCCGTTGCCAATCGTAGGGGACGCTAGGTGCGCCTCCCGGTAAAGTTCATGGAGAAACGACAGCGTACCAAGGCATGATCAGAGTCGACACAGGTATTTCAGTACGAGCGGCAATCCAGGATGGAACCACTCCATCTGTAACTTATGGCAATGTGATCCATTAGGGTCCATCGCTGGTCAGCTACAGGAGGACGCCAAGTGGCACTTCGGTGCCCACTGTGTCTAAAAGCAGTGCTACTAAGAAACAACTGGTGCTCCGCACACAGTTACAGCAGACGCTCACAGTTGTCAGTCCGTTCGGAGTTAAGCCCGCATTTACCATCTAGCTGAGCTTCTGAAGAGCACAGACGCCCTAATTGTGCGTTCATATCCCCAGAAAGTACTATAATATCTGAACTAGTAGCACTGCGTGGTAGCGCATTTAGTTCGTAATAGAATGTGTCCCCGACAGCATTAGAACTGCAGTCGGTGGGAGCATAAGCGGAAATCACAAACAAACAGCGTTTTGTACTACTTCGTGAATCAACCTTAGCTGATGTCGTCAAACGGGCTGCACATAAACGGCTGTTCACCGGAATCCAATCAGCCAGCGATGGCTCAGCCTTGGAGCTTAGGATGATACCCACACCAGCTTGACCCGTGAGTGCTGCATCGGCGTCTCCGGATGCGTGCAACCAATAACGAGAGAATAAGCCGGGTGCAGTTAATTCAATAACCCCGTTAGGGTCATTAATCCTGGTTTCGGACACACAACACACATCAATACCCAGTGTGTTCAAGGTGCGTGCGAGTGCAGCCTGTTGACCAGTTTGTCTTAGAGTGCGGACGTTGAATGTCGCCATGGAAACAGGATAGCGAGGCCTTATAAGGGATTTTTGCCGATAGGCATCCGATAGGTACTGTGGGATGGTGGCTGCAGATGGTTCTACTCCAGTGGCATTTCGGTTGCTGTCAATTAAGCTGGGAATTATAGAAGGAAGGTTAGTAATGGGGGACGGGATTGGAGTAAGAGAAAAAGGTGGAAAAGGAAGAAGGGAGGCGCCAGCAGTAGCATGTTTTCGCTTATCCGCCCTGCTGTATGAATCAGATAAGGCGACCCTTGATAATCTGCGCGGCGGCCAATGCAGGATGAAGTTTATGCAACTATGAAGCATTGGTGACCACGATAATCACTACAATCAAGGTGTGCATTGTGGATTGTGCAACCCGGGCCTCCCCCAGTAAGTGCTCCTCCAAGCCTGAGGAGAACGTCTGATAACATGGTAAGCAAAACGGCATCAATAGCCCAGTAATTCAACTGCTATCCCAAAACCACGAATAGCTTACGTACTACTAATGTGGTTCTCGGTTTGATCAGAATAATTACACACAGG